CATACAAATTGATTAGTGCAGTTGATATTGAAATATTTATTTCTAATTTACAATTCTTTTCCTTTGGTAAATGGAGAAGGCTACAAAATTGCTATTTTGGAGTGCATGTCTCTACTGTGCAACAATTCTTTTATAAATAGAAGGCCTTTGGTATGATGGCATCAAAATCAAGAAATGTCTGTTAGCAAAAAATAACAGCAAGAGCAAGCAGACATCTACTTTAGAAAGCCCAGGCAAATCCTCTTGTGACCTTTGCAGTTCTCCAATGCTCATTGGCCAATGTCAGAATCAATGTGCATACATCTAGTGTGTAACAAATTCTGAACAATGCTGATCTTCATGGCAGAATGCCTAGAAAAAGCCACTGCTTATAAAATAGTACAAGTAGGCTCACCTCAACTATGCCAAAGTTCATATTAATAAGCTAGAAACATTATGGCAAAAGGGTTTATGCTTGGATGAGACCAAACTAGTGCTTTTTGCAAGAAATAATAGGTGGTATATCTGGCAAGCTTCTAATACAGCTTTTGAAGAGAAGAATTTGATACCAACCATTAAACATTGCAGTGACAGCATTATGATTTGGGAGTGCTTTGCTGCAGCTGGAACAGGCAAAATATTATGCATTGATGGCACAATGGACTCTGCAAGATATCAAGCAATTTTGAATGAAAGTGTCTTGTCCTCTGTTCAAAAGTTGTGTTTAGGTCAGGGCTGGAACTTCTAACAGGACAATGATCTGAAGCATCAAAGCAAATTCACAAAAGAATGGGTTCGTAAAAAAAAATTCAAGTCTTGGAATGGCCTAGTCAATGTCCTGATTCAAGTTAAAGAAAGCAGTACATGCAAGAAACCCAGATAACATCAAGCAATTGTGGTAGTTTTGTCAAGAAGAATGGTCAAAAATTGACACTCACTATTGCCAGAAACTTCTTAAAAATTATAGAAAAAGACTGGTTGACATTGTAACCTCAAAAGGAGCAGTCACCAAATATTAAATGTTAGCGTTCACTTACTTTTACACATCTTAATTTTTAATTAATATTTTTATTCCAGCTTGTTAAAGATTTTTGAAAGTGGTTGTAATTGATTTAATAATTAATTAGGTTTTTCTTAATGAATATATAGTTTAATTGAGATTTGTTGATCACCTGGAAAAGAGAGAATTTTATGAAATATTATCTTTACTATTGCCTAGCACTGTGTGTGTGTGTCTGTGTGTATATATATATATATATATATATATATATATATATATATATATATAAATTATATAAAATTGCAAAATCAGCCAATTCTGTTACATTGGTTTCAACCTTTCAGTATCTTCAGGCAATTCAAAACAAAATAAATGAATAAGTGCATGACATGAGGTGTGGTAGAAGGTGAGGAGGAAACAGGGAAAATCAAGTTTATAGGAAATGTATTAGTGGGGTATTAAATGGAATATACATATGTTTTTTCTATCCTTCTTTAAATGAACTCAAAAGAAACTTTTTAGTATATATACAACAAGACATAATTTTCAATCTATGGTTTAAGAGGTTTTTTGTGTACTGAGGGTAACTTTAAAGAGTTAGTACAATCATAAGTCATCTTTTAAGCTAGAAAGCCTTAGAAATTCTACTAAACTAGCCAACCATGTGTGAAAATTAAAGGAGAAAAATAAAATAGATCCAATTGTAAACTGGAAAATTTTAAAAAAAGCAAAACATTACAACAATCATAGCAAAAACTGCAACTTTTGTTAACAAGAAAAAAGCTGTAATAATATTTCTAGACCAAAAAACCTGTTAAACCAGAGATTGGAAATTATAAACTGTTGTATACATACTAAGCATTTCAATTTGAGTTCATTTGAAGTGGGTTAAAAAGAATTTTTTTTAAAATATAGCATACATAAATTTTTTATTTTTAAAAAATAAAGCACTAGGAAATCAATTGACTGAAATCACCTGAAGTTGTCAAAAATCAATTGGCTGATTTCCTAATTTTCTATACTTAAAAGCTCTACATGTTAAATATTTATCTTTTTACATGTATTGATCAGGTTTTTTAATACTACTGTTTCCTGGTCTAATTCAACTCTGACCATTAACTTCTTTAATATATATATATATGACTTCAAATGTTATTTTTAGTGGATAGCTGTATTTGAAATAGATGTCCTGTTTTTTATTCTATTTCAAACAGTGAAAACTTAAAGAAAATGTACTCTCTGGCAAAGTTCAAACCGTGATTTATAAGAGAAACCAGTTAGATCCACCATGCTTTAAACTGCTTGGCTGCAGAGAGCATCACAGCCCAGCAACAAGTTTCTATTCACCCTTTTAAGGAATATACACTTTGTCATTCAGATTTTCTCTCAAAGCCTGCATCTGTTTGATTTTTTATTCAAAATGTAAACAAAATAAATTTCTAAGGAATTGATGGATTTATTTTTAATTTGACATTTTTATTACTACAAATGTTATTTTTAATGGATACCCATGTTTGAAATGTTTTAAACCATGTACTTTGCATCTACCAGTCTGTGCACTCAAGAAAACTTAATATAGAAAATTTGTTCTCCTGCAGAATTCAAACTATCATTCCCCTTTGCAGGAGAAACCATCATTTGATCTTATGAGTTTTAAAATGCTCAGCCACAGAGAGCTCCACAACCCAGCAAGGATTTATTTACCCTGAATGAGGGAGTGTGCATTTCATTATAATTCAACCTCTGGGCAATCCACCTAACATAACCTGATTACACTCATAAATATAACACTCCTGTCTACGTTTCATATATCATACCAGTGTTTGGTGCAGTTAGTTTCTCTGCTTCATTTCCTTTTCACAAGATTTGTGTTGTCTAATAAATTTAGTTGCTTGTGACAAAAACATGAGTTGTGGCTTTGTTGATCTGGACAAGATTTTTGGTTGGTGTTTCCTCAACATTGAGTGATCCTATTGAAAAAAGGTGTAAACATGCTGACAAAAAAAAAGATACTGCTGAAAACTTGTCAATGACTTAATTAAAGGCAAAATGTAAAATCATACAACAGCTATGGAGCTGTTTTGTCCCAATCATTCGTTCGGAGTGATCAATAGTGATGTCGAAGTTATGCCTTCATTCATCTTCCCACAGACCTCAGACTCAACACAGATGCCTACATCGTGCCTTGAGAAGGTAGTGCTTCCCTGGGTAAAGAGAGTGGCTGTTGGAAGAACAATATGTCTGGTAACAGGACTCTGCACCATGCCACACAAACAGGAAAACCTAGTCCTGGCTGTCATACAATTTCTGTAACCACATCACTCCTTACATCTGGCCACCTAACTCCCCAGACTGTAATCCCCTTGATTATTATGTGTGTGGTGTAGTTAAGCAAGAGACCAACAAAACTCCTTGTAACACCAAAGATGAGCTGAAGACAAAGATTATGGCAGCAATCACCAACTTAAATAAGGAGAACATCCAGATGAGATGCGGGAGATTCTGAAGTTGTCTACAGGCTGTGGTCGTAGCCAATGGGGATTTTATTGAATAAATGTACTCTTTAGCATTTCAAGATATTTTTATGTAATTTTAGTAAATATATCCTTTAAAATGAGATGTCAGTGTTATTTTCATTTTTACATAAATTAGAGACGCTATTTAGTAACTGCCCCACACAGTCACATGTGGCACAAGGCCGAATTTAAAGTGGGGTTCCTGAGCCCGGAGACTCGGCCAAAAAATCACCATAGACCCCACATAAACGGGATCGGGTCTGTCTACCTCCCCGGACGAAACTCTGCCCTTCGGCATAGCTCGACTCGTTATATATATATATATATTAAGGCAAAGTGGAAAAGCTTTTCAATGACAACTTGTTTCAGCTTCATGTGTTAAATAAGTGTTTTCAGGTCAGAATCCACTTAGTCTCATTTTTCCACTTTTATTCAGATTCTGTATCCTATTCACATGCATATATGTGTGTATGTGGAAAACCTCAGATGATACAAACTAAATATATTTCATTATAAAGAAAACACATGCTCTCACATGAATACATGAAACATGATAAAAGTAAAAACACAATATTTAAAAAAATTAAACTGGCAGCATTCAAACTATAAAAAAGTCTTTAAAAATCGTTAATCCGAAGTGCTTAGATATGGGAAGACTGATATGAAGTAAAAATCAGAAAAATGATTAGAAACATTGAAAACTAATGCACACACAATATATATATATATATATATATATATATATATATATATATATATATATACACGCACATCTATTTTCTCATTCAGGATTTGAACTAAATATTCCAGCCATTGGTATAAAACCAGAAACTGAAATAACAGAGATTAAAAACTTGAAGCCTTTTACAAATTATTCCGTGTGTCTTAGAATACATACAGAAGAAGGCTGGAGTCAAATTAGTCCTCAGTTAAAAACATCAACTCTTGAAACTAGTAAGTAAATTTGTTATTATGTTCATTCTTTTCTTTTTTCTTATTCTACTGTGATTCATTTTTAAAGACTTTATTTAATAATTTGTTTCTTTTTTTCTATTGACTTCTCTTCAATTTCATTTATTTATTCTACTCTCTCATCATCTCCCAGGCTTATGGCCATATCACATTCAAACACCAGTTCTTGCATAATCACTGAAGATAAGCAATGTCAAGTCTGGTCAATACCTAGATGGGTGACTGCTTTGGAATACCAAGTGCTATAAGTTTGGATGTGTGGGTGGTGTAATGGATAACAGCTCAGAATTTTTAATTGGAGAGCCAAGTTCCAATTTCAGTGGGGTGTGTTATATTCACTAACATGCAAATGCCCTTGGGAAGTCGTCCTGTGTAAGATGATAAACTACGTCCAACAGCAAGGCCTCTGATCAGGAGGTTTTGAGGAGCATGGAACCACCTCTCAATTGCATGGTGGAGTAGTGGATAGCAGATTGGATTGAGGAATCGGAGAGCTGAGTTCAAATTCCAGTCGAATCCATTACATTCACTTACGTGCTAACACCCTTGGGAATGGTATTAATCCTCTTTTTCTCCCTCCAGCTATGGGTACATAGCAGGACAGACTGGGTTCTATAGCCTTGGATGGCAACTGGTCTAGGAGAAGGAAAACTCTGAATTCAAAACCTGTGGATGGTCATTTGGGGACCTTGTGGCAAGTAGTGTATCAGGTCTCTGTAATTGGCCCTTCAAAAAGTGTGGATGGTTCTATACTAAACCTTCACCACTATAATCAAATCTCATGTGCTGTTGTTGGGCTGTCGGTTTCCTGGGAACTGATCTGAGGCCTATACATGCAGGTTTGGGGACCGCTTGTGAATTCCAAATTCCTTTGAAACTCCAATATTGGAGCCGGCTCAACCCACCCCGGGTGAATGCCGTTACAGGTACAGGTAGGTAGATCCACCCTGACCTGGGGTGGTAGCACCTGTCAGGGTCCCATCTATGGGCAAATAATTAACTCCCAAACTGGGGTCAAAACACTATGAAAGTGTAAAAATAGGTTTAAATACCAGTAATACATTTTTGTAAAAAATTATTAACAGCAATGAATTTTTGAAGGGAAAAATATTACCAGCAATACATTTTTGGGAAAAAATATTACCATCAATAAAAATCTTGTCAGCATTAATTAACCCATTGAGGTTGATATGCCATAAAACAAACCAACCAAAAGCAAACCCTTAGGGAAGGTATGAATCCAATTGTTCAGCTCACCAGCTATAGGTTAGGTAGTAGGACTTATATCAGTAAATAATTATTTCCAAAAAATTCTTGCAATCTAAAAAGAATATTTGCTGGCTTTAAATAACTTACAAAAGGTTGATAAACTGTGAAAAACAAATCAATCAATCAGTCATCTTCTCCCACCTTTGTACTCCTCAGCATTTCAAATTCATTCTTTCTTACTTTCTACTTTTCTTCATTTTTTTCTCTTTTATTATGTACCTCTCTTTCTTCTCCTCTTCTTCTATAATCACCCCCCCCCCCAATTTCCCCTCCCCCCTTTCTTTTCTTCCCTCATTCTTCTTTATTTATTCTCTTTCTTTTGCAATTCTGTTATACTCCACTTCCAATTAGATCTCTTTCTGATTCACTGTAAGAAAGGGAAACCAAAAATAAAAAAAAATCATCCTCTGCATAGGGGCACCAAGCATTACATCTGATCCATAAAACAAGTACCCTCAAAAAAATATAAAACACAACATAAAAGAAGCCAATTACAAACATTGCCACCAAAGAAAGGACCTGAAAAAAAGATGAGTAAGAGCTAGTAGAATTTGTTTGTAGGAAAACCACTCATAAATGGCTGGAGCAGAACATCGCCAATATGCTAGCTGTCAATGCCCAGCAAGCTCACAGCATCACCACTGTGACCTTGGTCATCCAACTTGACACACATATCCACTCAAGACCCATCCTCTTTGAAATCCCCACACATTGTCCACATAGAGACTTTCTGCTTGCATCCTCTGTATCAGCAAAGTCAGATTCACGGTGTATGGCAAGTTTCCCTAATGCACTCTAAGCCTCTATCAATGTTACCACCATGACCTTGGTCAACCAACCCAATAAACACATCAACTTCAGGCCTTATCAACTCTACCCTTCATTTAAAACCCCCTACCTAGCCTATATTCCACTTGCATCAGCTGTATCAACAATAAAAAAGAATTTTATATTCACAATTCTTGTCTTTTTTTTCATCGGCAGTATTGTTGTTTCATTTGTTCTTCTGTGCTACCATACATGTGTTTATAACAATTCTAATTTATCATTCAATGTCTTTTGTTCTTTATCTATTTTTCTCTTCTCCTCTTTCTTTATCCCTTCCTTCAGTTTTTTTGTTTCTTTGCCTTCAACATATTTTTCTCTTTTTCTCGGTTCTACTTAAAATACCCTATTTTTTTACTCTTTTTCTAATCTATTTTTCATTCTCCTCCTTTGAACTTTTCCTTTTCCTACTCTACCCACTCTCTATTTTACAATAGTATATCATGTCATAAGTAAACATTCTTCTTGAAAATAGTTTAATTCATACCAACTGAACATTGTAAGTTAAATACATGTAATATTAATTACAAGAGGTAGAGTTTTTGTTTTACATCGATCCAGAATTGGGATTCTTTTAATTTGTTTTTAATTAACTATTTGTTGTTAATAACCTTCCAAAACCAACAATTGAAACATGAACCTTATGGTCTAACTCTTTAAGCACAAAGATCTTATTTGGATACATTTCATGGGATTGGTTTTATATTTTTCAGATCCTAGCAGTGTTAGAAATCTTCAAGTAACCAATATCACCAGTGGCAGTGTGACTTTAAAATGGGATCCAGCATTACAAACCAAATGGAATTATCACAGAGTATAGAATTATTTATACAAAGGTAAAGTTTGCATTTAGAATTTTTATCATTATAACAGTTGTAGAAAAAGAACCCAGCTGTGAATTGATTTCTTTGCTAGATGAATGATCTAATATAAAAGCCAATGTCAATGTTTTTTAATCTGTTGAATTTGTATAATGTTAAAGGATACAGGAAGAGAGACTGTAAGTGCATAGACACAAAAATGGACTCTACTATGTTTGTATGTTTACTATAGGTAAGCAACTCCAGCTGGTAATATTACTACTGATGATGATGATGATGCCTCAGCTTCATTGCCATATTTGCCTGTCATCTGGATCACATTCTTCAACAGTCTTTTGAACAGGAGTAATGGTTTATCCCTTGTTTCCTGTTTAGAATTGTGTTTCTAGTTCTTTCTGAAGTCTTTTTCATTCTCTTTCACTCTCAGTAGTCCCTTGCATCTTAGTGGCATTATTGCCTTGCTTTAGGTGAACTGATTAAAAATAAAATTATTAAAAAACAGAAAATATGAAGAACTTTAAAAAATCTGTAGAAAAATAAATTTCATTTGAGCTATGTATTTTTTGTTTGGAATATAGATATTTATATAATTTATCGATATATAAATGATCATGTTATTTTTTTTACAGGTAATGTGTTAGTTAAAAGATATTTTTGTCCTTGGCCCATGTGTACAAGTTTGGACACCTTCACATTAAAAAAATTACCTTTTCTCACATCCTACCTTCATAGGGAGGTCAAGAAAAAAAAAAAAAAAGAAATTCCACACATCCCAGCCAGCATAACAATACACATATACAATAAAGTGGGATGATACAGATAAGCCCACACTCTGTGTTGGTCCCCAGATTTTGGAATTGGTATTTTTGGTTTGATCAAATTGGTAGAATTATAAATTTTGATTAGTAGCCTAATGGGGGTTTTATTCTTTTTCTTTTTAATAAAAATTTCTTGTATTTTGTTTGAAAAGACATTTCACAGATTTAAGCAATCATTTCAAGATTGTGGTGGATTCTTTAGCATTTTTGTAGAAATCTTGATGCCCATTTTGTTTTAATTTTCAGCTTGGTGGCAGTACATATAAAATAGTCTCAAATTCTTCAAATATGGCAAATGTTTCTCATTTGTATCCTTATTCCAAATACAATTTTACTGTGTCTTCCTGCAATAAAGCTGGTTGTTCAATGGAGCCTCATTACATCAGTGCCAAAACTTTGACTGGAAGTAAGTAGAACCTTTTAAGGAAATTAATCATCATGATTGGAAAATAAACAAGATATGTTCTAAAAATAAAATCAGAAATATATATGTATATACAGGTCAGTGCTGATAAACCGAGGTAGTTGGGGTCCAAAACTTTTATCGCTTAGATCAAAAGTGAGCTGCGATGTCAGAATTGGCAGCTTTGACTATCAAAACAAAGTTTTTCAATTCCATGGAGTTGTCCGCAAAAATGGGTAACACAGTGGCTAAGCATGTAAAATGTGCATTCAATACTAAGAGTTGAATATTGCCAGTTTTGAAAAACATTTATTAAAACTATCCTTTAATTTTACATAAAAATCTGCACCAATGTGAATACATTTGAAATAGGATGGCCTAAAATGATTCCAATTATAAAGCGCAATGTCAATAGATCCATCATTGACACAAGATTACTTGATTAAACAAAAAATAAATTTATATTCGTGAAACCACTTGTGTTTGCCCTTCGATGTTTAACAAGTAGATAGACGTTTGTTTATATGCTGGTGTATACACTATGCAAGAGAGTGGAGATAAATAAATGAAAAAAATTAAAGATTTGAGTGCATATATTTCTTTTTGCTTTGTTTTTTTTTTTTAAATTGGCACCATAATAAAAATTGTTTGGAAATTAGATAAATAAAAATGTATAGGAATATATATATATGTATATATATATATATATATATTTGTATATTTAGGCAGCAATCCTTCCTTTATGCATGTTTCATTAAAAACGACAGACAAGGTACTACGGTTGAGCTTTTTATTTAATTTTTCTTGTGTTCTGACAAGAGCTTTCTTTTCTGGACAAAAGTGTGTAAGAACTGTCCGAATGTTCCGTGTTTCCGAGCGCTTTTCGGCTATACCTTTAGCCATTATCAAGGATGATTCAATTATCAGCTTAGTAGAGTGTGTGTGTTCTGTGTATGTTCAGTGAGTGGTAGTGATGTTTTTTAGTTTCCGAATACGGTGAGAGCACATTGTGGCTTTGTTCATAGTTAATATTGTTAAGGGTTGGCTTTTTCTTTTTTATTATTAGAGCTTCCATTATTTTTAGTCTTTTTTTTGCAAGTGGATGCAGTTAATATATTTGTGTTTTCTACTAGTATGTTCCTAATCTTGTCGGGTAAATCTGAGTGTGTGTTTAAATGTGTTCTGATGGAACTGTGATCAGATAGGTGTAATGTAAGACGTCTGGATAAACATGTGGTTGTGTAGCCGATGTAATTATTTATGAGTCCGGTTTGGTGAGGAACGCAGTTCCTTAAAGGGCATTTGAACTCATAGATAATGTTCGTTCTTTGTAATTTTGACTTATATATATATATAAACACAAAAGTTATTTTTGATTATTGCTGACAATAATTATGTTTCTTTTAAAAAAAAAATTAGTTCTTGTCCAATTTTGGTAAAATTAAGAAATAATAACAACTATGTATAGGGAGATTTTTTATTTTATTTTAGGAAAGGAATGAAGATTGACTTTTTTTTATTTTTTCTGACAGGATGTTAAAATTTGCAAGGAAATTACAAATAAAGAGAGCTTTATAATTAAAAAAAAGGAAAGAAAGAAAGAACCATACCATAGAAGGATAAAGAGAAGGAAGGAATGAAGTAAATAATAAAGAACTGTATCGAATAAAAAAATTTGGAAGGGTTAATATCTAGGTATAAAAATGTTGTGATCATTATGATATTTAAAGAGAGACTGTGCAAAACTTTAATTTTTACCTGTATTTATACAAAAATTTAATGTGAGAGGATTTATGGACTTTTTGATAATTGCTGAAATGTGTTATTTGGCTGCAATGGCAGCCTCCATTAATAATCCTTAAAATTTAGGATTTAAAATGGCTCTTCTCTGCAGATTATATAAACTATTTGGAAAAGCACATTATCAATATTAAAGCAAATCCCAGTTGAGTAAATATGTGAAATTTTTAAGTTAGGATAAAGGTTGTAAGCTGCATATTTCACACTCAAAATGTTTGCAAAGTGCTAATCTAAACTACAACACAATCGTGAGTGCGAAATGCCAAAGCCTAAACAATAGTAAATGCCTACGAAAATATGGATATATGCAAGGTATTAAAACTCAATTTAATGAATTTATTAAAATAAAAGATTATACAGAAAAAATCAAACTTTAAAAAGTGTCACAATCAAGTTTGAAGTTGTTCCAAATTGGGCTCCACTGATGATTATGATTGCAATACAAACATGACAAAAAATTTTGGGGTCTATTGCGCAAGCACAGCTTAAGCGATTTTGTGGTTTATTGGTACTGATCTGTATGTGTGTGTGTGTGTGTGTATATATATATATATATATATATATATATATATATATATATATATATATATATATATATATAAAATGTGTGTGTATGTTTAATACAAATATAAAATTAGTCCAGCATTTCATAGACAAACCCATTTTGCAATTGTTCTGTCTACTCATCAGAAGGTTTCATCTATTAAATTACATTTTGGTACATACACACATATATAATTGTACATTTATTATTACACAAACACACACATATGCATTCATTCTTATACACATGCATGCACATATGCATTCATTCTTATACACGCACAAATACATTCATTCTTATTCACGTACACACACATATACATTCATTTTTATACACATGCATATACATACATTCATTCATATACACCACTCACACAAACACACACACACACATATATATATATATATATATATATATATATAAAGAAGTACAACTTTATGTGGTTACTTATATTCATTCTTATTTCAATTTCATTTTAATTGTTTTCATACATTCCTTCTTAAATAAAAATGTCAAGCAATTTTTATAACACAATTTACATCATAATTATTACAAATTGCATAGATTTTTTTCCTGTATTTTTTGTTTTAGACACTGCCGTGGTTGATTTGCAACTGACTTTAATAAATGCAAGCATTTTGATAATCACCTGGAAGCCCCCATCTTTCTTAAAGGAACATGTACTATACTACAAACTTAAGATTATAGGCGGCAAAAAGGAGATTATTAAAAATATGACTGACACAAAATACAACATAAGCATTTCATGTCAATCAGATGATACTTTTGAGAGAGTTAATGTGATAGCTGTGATAAAAAATGAAAGCTCTATTATTTATGGAGAATCAACAATATCCCAAATCTTATGTCCAGAAAGTAAGTATTCAACCATTGGTATATTTTTGTGTGTATGTTGGTGGAGGGTCACTCAATTCTTTTCTGTTTTTTCTCTATTTTAAACTCTTTCCTCTCTCCTTCACTTTCTGCTCTATCAATTTTCCTTTTTTTCCTTCCCTCTCTTTCTTCTATTCTTTATATCACTCTCTTTTTTTCTCTCTCTCTCTTTCCTCTCTCTCTCATCATCATCCTTTCCATAATCTCCTCTTTTCTTCTCTCTATTGATTTTCTATTTTTCTTATCTCCTTTCCTCTCCCTCTCTGTCATCTACCTACCCCCAGCTTTTACTCTAAAATGTAACATGTACAAAATGATTGATCACTTTCATAAAATGCTTCAAGTCATTTTATTTATTACATTATTTACATTTTTGTTGTTGTTATCACAACGTTTCAGCCATTGTCTCGTCTGGCATTCATCAGATGTTTGCCAATCAAGGTAACCTTGAAGGAATTTCAAACTGAGCATTTTATTTAATCTACAGGGGTAATTTGTTCTCGTTCCACTGATTATGTCTAGAGATCTGTCATTTAGTTCTTATTTTTGTGCTGCTCAGTTATTGTTTGCCCTGTTTCAAAATGAGTCCAAGTTTGCACTACTTGATCTAGGGATTGAACTCACAATTACTGTCACCAAATTCATGAACTACTGATTTAATAGGAAATTAGCAAAATAGTTGTATTGCATTTGATAAGAGTTAAAAGTTGCTCTTCATTAAGCGAAATCTGCTTCCTAAGATCAATGGTGAAAAAAGCTTTTGAGCGAGTGAAACCTCAGGGCCTTGGCAAAGATCATCCCCCTTTGAACATTGTGAACTGACGATATCGATTTAATAAAGAACTGTACCAAATAACAGAAACCATATTACTTGAGAACTACCAATAGCAGCAACAACTAAAATGGATATCACATGTAACTAAAAGAAAAATCAAGATGTTGACATTCCACACTACTTCAAAGAAAAGATGAAGAAGGAAACTTCCCTCCCCCCAATACTGGAAAGAGAGATAACAACTGCTGGACTTGAGAAACCTGTTTATCTGAACTATTGTTTTAAGAGAAAGATTTTATAAATTTCATCTGACAACTGTGCTTGCTGCTCAGTCAAGGAATGCCAAATGTTTCCTTCTAAGGAAACAGCTAATATTACCATTATCATTCCACCTGAGGTATAGATCTTTTGGATCCCATTTACTTTAAAAATATTCCTGTTGATATAAGTCATTTTCTTTGTCATTTCTGCCCAAACAATGGCTAACCAAATTGAAATTTTTCTTTTTCATTTATTCTTTTCCTTGTATATTATCAATATCTTATCAATTGCTTCTTGCTTTGTTATTAAACATCACAATTAATTTTACTGTTAACAATATATCAATTTTATTATTATTTTTATATTATGATATACTATTGAAAACGGTACAGAGAAAATAAGAATTTGAAAATTTTTAGCATATTAGGTAAATATGTATCAAAAATAAATTAAGAAAATCCTCTTTAAGAAGTAAAAGATGAAATAGTATTTTTTTTAATAAAACAGTGCATGAAGAGGAGCTTTTGAGATGGTGTGTGTTATGATGTTGATTTGGGGTTAAGTAGAGACAAACGCCAAATAACACGTAACAATAAAAAGGGTTTTAATAGGTTGGTAAAAAGGTACAAAAATCGCCTGAGTAGTCAGTAACTAGCTCAGCTAAGAACTTCTCGGTCTATCTGTCCTCCATGTCAACTGACATGCCACTATTTAAAGTCTTTGTTCGCAGACAAGTTCATCTTCACAGTGTGTGAAAAGGAACAGGAACTGGAGCCTAAATGGCTTCAAAATCAGTTAGACAATAAAACCCTGATTGTCTTGGATTAAATATTCTAAAAATAAGAATATATTAAATTCACTGGACCATAGGATGAAATTATGTTTGAATTTTAAAGCAAAATCTTTTTGTGGTTTTATACTTTTTGGGTGGTGTTTTCTTTTTTGTTTTTTTAATTTTTATGAGTAAAAGATAAGGGATAGACCTAAAATTGAACAAAGTATAAATTCTAAATTCAACTGTCTACACTAATTGCCAAGCTTTTGAAGAAGGACTAAAATCTGATTTTTTTCAAAGAGGCATTGCAAATTTTAGTCAACCAGGAATCATGTAATCCATGCAAAACAAATATTTCAATATTTTTTTCATAAGATCAGTCATCAGATGTTTAGAATTAACTTAATTTTTTATTCTATTGTTAATAGTTTAGTTTCTGTGGGTGGCAAAACACACACCAAAAACTGCAAAATAGCAATTTCCCCTATATTTAGAGGCCTGTGACCATGAAACGACATAGATTAGAAATAAAATAAAAACAGAACCAAACAGGGAGCACCAAATATCAACATGGTATCTTAGAATGCAAAGATGTGATGTGTCAAAGTTGGCAAAATTGTGTTATTTTGAAATCTGCAAAAATTAACAGTAGAATTCAAGAAGCCATAACTCCAGAATTAATAACTTAAGGAAATTTTAGAGTTTTCCTTTTCTCATAGGTGGGTACCATATACTAGTATTTCATAAAAATCTGTGATGGTACCCAGAGTAACTTCCAAAAATATTGTATTGATATATATATATATATATATATATATATATATATATATATATAAAACTGTTAGCATAGAACTTATGGTTACATCTAGCCAATACAACTGTAAACTGATGGCAACTTGTTGCTAATCTAGTACTGGACTTAAATTCATAAAGTTTAGGTACCATAGCGAAGAGCTCATCCTAAAAATTACCATGAAAGTATTTATAGAAAAGGCCCAGGGACGCTACATTATTTCAGTGGGGAAATGACTGAAGCCGAGATACCAGATCAGGACCAATAATATTGCTGATTCTTCTTGGATTTTATCAAAAATCTCTAAATATATAGCAGGAGCACTTGACCATATGTGGTAGCAATATTCAAGCCCTGGACAAATAGTAGTAGTAAGATAGATTCTGGAGAGAAAAATTGTCAGCATGACACAGCAACCTACAACTATAACACTATAGAAAATAGAAATAAAATGAAAACATCAGTGATTCCTCCATCTTAGATTACAGGACTATCAAATATCAACTTGATATCTTCTTAGAATGCAAAGTTATGAAGTGCCAAATTGTGTTATTTTGAAATGAGCAAAAACTGGCACTAAATATCAAGTGGCAATAACTTTTAAACTAAGAGTCTGAGAAAGATAAAATTTTAGGGATTCTAGTTTCTCATAGATTAATATAACATACTTAAATTTCATCAAAATATTTGATGGTAGCTCTGGGACTGTTGGTTGAATTGATATGGAATTACACACACACACACACATATATATATATATATATATTAAAATTTGTGTATTTAGGCAGCAAATTCTCTTTTAGACACGTGTGATTGAATAAATTACAGATATCAGGTCTGCTAATTTTTAATAAAATCTGCTCATACTCATGAATAACCTTCTGTGTATTGATGTTAAAGGATAAGAGAAATGTTCTGTAGCTGTTTAAATTTCTTTTATTTTAATTTCTCAAGTACTTTCGACCTTTTTTCAATATCATCTTCAGGGGCGTTGTTCATTAGTATAAGTATTAATATAAAGATATATATATATATATATATATATGTGTGTGTGTGTGTGTGTGTGTGTGTGTGTGTGAATTACAATTAATGAGATCCAAACAATTTACCTCATGCAGATGATCATTTTGTCCATAGGAAAGTAGTCTTTCCCTGGACTTATCAATGCAAATACATTTACTAAAATGAATAAATTCCCACATTTCTTCACAGGAAATTTGAAAGGCAAAGGAAAGAAAGAAGGGAAAAAGAAAAAGGAAAGAATAAAAGGAGTGGGAGTAAGAATTAAGGGACCTAAGGTGGTTGTGGTGGAGTCAGTACAGATAAATGCAACAGCTGAAAATGGACACTGACCTAAATGCAACCTATTAACACCTATGCAAGGAAGAAGAATGAACAAAAAAAAGGCATAAATAATTTCAGAGAGCAGTTTAAAATATTATAGGATGGGAGTAAGAATTTAAAATTAATACGTTTATAAAAAGATGTTAATATTAATCCATTCAATACTACATCTTTAACTATATAGTAAAAGATACAGTAAAAAAATTCAAGTAAATTATTAATATATTAATTTCATTTAAATATAACCAGTCTCATTATATCAATATAATATTAATAATATTTCAAATATTAAGTTTATAATTTAAAGTATATCAAACTTATACTAATTATTTTAAGGTTCTGTAAGGGATTAGATTTAAATTCAATATACAAAAAAAATTTAGTATTATAATAAGGTAGTCAACAAGAAACTAAAGAGAAGATAGAGGAATATAAAAGAATTAAAAATCTCATAGGCCTAGTAATGTATGTGAAAAATAGTAGAGTTAATGGAGGAAAAACAATTAAATATAGAAGAAAATTCTACATATAGAAAACATGTAACAGAGAGGGAAATATATATATTGCATTGTTTACATACGTTTACCTCAAGTAGTAATGTGGTTGCGAGGTCCTTCTGGTCTGTTCATTATGATTTGACCTCTAATAGAGAACACCATGTGTGAGAAGCATTGAATTGAAAAGCAACAATAATTAAATGAAAGATACACAAGTCAAAATCTGTAAGAATTAATGATCATAGAATGTAAGGGGATTAATCTAAATTCATTAAATATAGGTTAAAATGAGTAAAACTAAAACACCTCATCTAACAGAAATTCAAACACAGATATTTTTCATCTTCACAAATGATTGTCTTAAAAACATTTGTCTGTTTTACTGTAAAAATTTCTTCAAGTTTGTTTATTTTTATCAAAATTATTTGGATACACAATACCAGGCATTACTATACAGGCAAGAATTATTGCACATTTAAAAAAAACAAACTTAATTTAATGATAACAATAATTGTGCACTCTGAAAATGGTGAGTTACTTTGTTAATACTTTATTGAAATTCCACTTGTGCCTCTATTAGTAAGTAAATATATGTATTATGCCCTGCTATTACCTCAAGTAAATAATAGACCATTCCATTTTGATTACAAGGAAAAACAGATTAAAAGGCTATATCAGAGATGTTATCTGCTTTTAGTAATAAAAACAAAGCCTACATAATAAAAAGAAAAGAAAGATAGCTAAGGTGATAAAGCTCACATGCATTTAACATCTGCTTCAATGAAATGGAAACTCTTGTCAATTTTCAATCTTATCATTGTGTACCCTATTGCTTTGTTAAATAATGACCTGCATTTGTACTTATGATTTTTATTGTAATATCTTGTCCATATTTTTAAACTAAAATATTTAACAATGCAATAGGGAATTTCTATTGTCATAGAATTTGCAAAAAAGCTTATTTATTCATTAATATAACAATTATAATTCATCAGAAAATTCAAATAGCAAAACCAAGCACTGCTAATTAATATAAAATGGCTGACTGATTTTTGTACAATTGTTCTTTTCAGGTGAGAAACTTTGGATAATTGTTCTAGTGGTGATATTTGGTGTTGCTTTGTTATTCATTATCCTTGTGTGTCTCATAAATTGGGTGTAAGTATATTGTAATTATATATATATATATGTGTGTGTGTGTGTGTGATCACTTAAATATTATTTTTAGTGGATATTTGTATTTGAATAGACACTTTGTTTATATATGAAACAATACATTTATTTATTTTTGTCTACAGGCCTGAATATTTGAGAAATTTTATTAAAACAAAATATGTGCTCACTGGCATGATTTGAACCTAAAAGAGAAACCATCATTAGATCTTAGAATTCTGGATAGTGCCTTTAAATATAGAGCTTTCTCTGACTCTTGAAATAGACATAGGTAAGGTTTTACATATTTTGGTCAATTGACAAAAAATAATCTAGAAGTAAATAAAAATTTATCCAATATTTGAAATGAATTTTAAAATATATTCACCAGCTGAAGATATATTTTGGCAATAAAGAATCTTATCAAAAAGGATAACATCCAACACTTCTTTTTCTTCTATTAGAATTAAAATGAAATCCACACAGTATTTAGTATTGTTAACATAATTTTTTTTCTCAAGACTTACAAACTCTGCTCTACCCTATGTTTATACTTACAGTGTTACCAATGAGCATTACTAATATTACTAATGAGCATTATATTTTACCAATGAGCATTACTAATATTACTAATGAGCATTATATTTTACCAGAAAAAATATATGCAAAAAACAATACTGCATTTTTATTTAATAAGTATTCGTTATTTTAATCATTAAATCGTTTTTAAAATAAAGTATTTTGTATGTTAAATAATAAAACTTGTAATTTTTCCAAAGAAATTAATGAAAATTTATTGTACTAAACAACACACCCTAATAAAACCAATTGTGCTTTGTACCCCTTACCTGTTTGGATTTCTCTCCAAAATTTGGCTTTGATCATTCATTATGTGGCTACTTTAGAGGGTGACAGAATAACAGAATTTTATATATAGATAGATAGATGTACTGCGTCCCTTCACAGGACATGTCTCGCCAAAACTTCCTATATATTGTGGCCTATAGTAATTTTTCTCCCTTTTCTAAGCCCTCGCCTCACATACACACACCATCTGTTCTGCCATCCATTTACATATGCCTATCAGGTAGGTGGCTCGCTTACTTCCCCTATCTCTCTTGCCCTCAATATGCCCTGTGTGAGTTAACTTTTCCAAGCCCTCTTTCCTTATTATGTGTCCAAGAAATTTCAGCTATCTCTTCCTGATTCTGAGCATAAGTGTTCTTTTAGCTGCCATTTTCTTTTAGACTTCCTTGTTACTTGTTCATTCCATCCATGGAATTCTCAGTATCCTTCTGTAGAACCACATTTCTGTTGACTCCAGTTTTCTCCCCATCCCTGGGAAGATCATCCAACATTCACTGGCATATAAGACGATGGATATCATATTTCAATCCAGCACTCTTTTCTTTTTACAAAATGGATTAAATTTGATCTATTTTTAATTTATTTGTTTAAACATTATTTTTAATGGATACTCATATTTGAGTAAATGCTCTGTTTTTATTTATTTATTAAACAGTATATTTATTTATTGACATCTACTGGCTTAAATATTAGAGAAATCTAAATAAAGTTGTGTCAGTAGCTCATTTCAAGAAAATAAATCAGAATTCTTAAAGTTCATAGTTTTAACAAATTGTCATGAAGAGGAAATGTTCATACAACAGATTAAATGATCTGACACAAAATAATATTAAAAAATGTTTAAGACAAAGGTAAGAGAGTTGCTCATTGAAGAGATATATGGTTGCAGAAAGGTAGTTTGAAATACTTATCTTTCTTGGATTTCTGAGAGAAAATTCTTTGAAGTGCTACATAATGGTTAGATTAATGTAATTTTACCCTGTTTATTGACTTCCTCCTCCATACTCTGTGCTGTCAGTGCATATACAATGATAATTATTATGTTAATAGGCTTCCCTTTCAGTTTAACATTATCTAATATTAACCCGGCACCTCTTTCATTTTTCTCTTCACCTGCATATATTACCTTCTGTGTGTGTCACTTATGAAGTCCCCATTATTTGCCCACCTAGTTTCATATATACCTAGAAGTTGATATTTAATCTGTTCAGCACTTGCTTGATATTTTCAAACTGGTCACACTTGTATAGAATCCTTGCATTCCAGGACCCAATTACTATTTTGTATTTGCTGTGAACAATAACTCAATAATAGTCTGGGGGGACACCTATTGCTCATCCTTTCTGGGTAAGGAGTTGTTCCTAGGGAACTTAACCCCCTTTATGCCATTATTCATTATATTCATTTTGTGAACAGTTACAAAATGATGGTCAGTTGTTACACATGATTTCCCTTACCAGGTGAGGAGTTATCATCAGTGGACTTTACTCCCTTCATTGCATTATCTCTATTATGTATGTTGCTGTTACCATGATTATTCTTGGGATAGGTAGTGGAGAAGTTTCCTGTTGCCTTCTCCATGGTGTTTTATTGAGACACTAACTCTAGTTAGTCAGTTGTTGACTCATTGACAGATCTGCCACCATTTTATAGGTCTTATTTTTCATGATACAGTGTTGCTAATAACCTTCCACACACCAGACAAAGTGGAGCAGAGGAATAAGTTTAGATATTAAACAAATTTTCCTCTTTGGGAAGAAAAAGAATTCTTTCCTTCCAGGCCAAAGTTTGATTAATGAAGCCACTTTGAGTGTGAAAAGGGGTGGAATTTTCAGTGATTTCACTTTAGTTTATACCAGTGAAGTGTAATGAAGTAAAAAAGAAGAAAGCCAACTACTATATCACCAACAAATTTTTTCTTCTACAAAATAAATTTGATAGGCTATAATTGAAGACAAAAGATGAACAAAGACATATGGGATTGGTAAAATAATTCTTGAACAAATAGTGCAAAACACATCTAAAAGAGGAAAAATGGCATAGCTCGAACATTAGTTTTAACAGCTTCTCATTGGATGGAATCAGAGAGAAACTATTCAATGTCAGTTCTCCAAGACTCTTTACCTATTCATCCAACATTAGGTTTGGCAAATAGTTGATTATATAAAGGACAACATATATACATAACCCTGAATCTTGAGGATGATGAGAAATCTTATTGAGAGCACTTGATCACAAACATTCAGACAATATCTATGCTCATTGGATCCAAATGTCCACTCTCTTGGATATAAAGAAGGAAATTTAACTCGAAAAATTAAAAACAACACTTGTCTAGCATTTTTAATCAAACCTGCATCAATACATACATATATATATATAATTTTGAATATTATGATAGTTTAAGTGTAATATTTGGAGTTGTAGGATTCTTGCTGAATTAGTTGAGTTTATTTAATTTTTTACAAAAATACATTTTATAATGACAGAATTTTATACATATATATGTAAAAATAATAATTTAACATTTTAACTTTACCATATTTTCTTGTGCATAATACAACTTGAGGATAATACAACTCCATGTTTCTGAAAGTAAAAATAAGAAATAAACTACACCCTTGAGTATAATATGATCACATAGTACATCCAACCTTATGTATTTGTTTTTAAAGTTGTACCATATTATCCATTAAAATCTTACAGCTGTACATATATTTCACTAAAATATTTAATTTTTCAGTACTGTATACTAAAGAATACAAATGAAACAGATTTTTAGCCATTGTGCACTGCTTTCGATTTCCATTTCAAAACATATTTTTGAATTTTCAATGAAAGGTGCTAACTAGGCATACCTTGTGCTAAGGTGTTAATTAATCTATCATACTTTTCTGTTTGATATGACTTTATTATACTTCTATATATTAATAGAATATGAAAATAAAAAGAAAATATTGTCTTTTTATTAAGAATGAAGAGAGAAAACTTTACAAAAAAACAATAAAATCAAAATATAAACTTTATCTTGTGAGCAAAATTGTTCTAATTTTAAAGATTATGCTGATTCCCAAAGAACAAATATGGCCGACATATTGCCAACAATTATTATCAATACCTATCTACTTTGTGTTTTATTATCTATTGTGCTAACTGAATGTATTTGTAATCATGCTGTTTTAAATAAGATCTTTTTTAAGTCAATTAAAAATTTCTGGAAATGTGTACTTGTGTATAGCATTCCCACCTGACCATTTTTTAATTTAATTTTTGTTCAAAACATCTCATTTTATGCACAAGAAAATATAATGTCATCCTGTTGTAACACTTTTGATTATATTTAAATATTGTCACATTGTTAATGGGCTTTAGCATAGTGCACGATTGAAATTTGTTTGAAGTCTTTGATTAGAATTTCCTATGTAGAATATAATTACAATATCTGGTAATAATTCAATAAATTAATCTGACCTTGATGAGTGGTGTATCTGTGATACTCTGAAGTCAGTCATTTGAGATTTTCTTAATTTGATAACCATTGTTGTTTTGAGTCTTTATTGAATCCTTGACAAAAATTTTTCTCACCTTGAAGTACATTAAATTCTACTAATTTGATGTATTTTGATATGTGTTATGGATTTGTATTCTTATAATTTTATGTTTGTATAGATTCTGTATATATTTCTTTTCTTTTATTCCTAAAGATCTAAAAACAAAAAAAAATTGGCTATTTCTGCAAACATTCCTGATGTGGTAAGTTTTAAAATTCTTTTTTTTTTGGTATTATTCAAGTAAAATGATTTAAAACAAATTCTTTAATATCGCAGAATTACAAAAATGTTTTTTTTAGGTTTTCCATATTAAAAGAAATAAATAATACCTGTAAGTAATTGCACCAGCAAAAATACCAATTAAAAGTGAAAAATAAAAACAGACATTTTATGTATTCTTGTAAAAACTGAATCAAATTTCAAGTAAAACTCTGTACCACCACTAATTTACTGAAAAAAGAGCATACCATGATGAAAAAAGACCCCAAACTTGATAAAAACAAAGCTTTATGAAGACAATGTTTATTAAGAGGAAAAACCAAAGTATGTTTTTATTATTTTATAAAATTTTTTAATCCTGTCTAGTACATTCAAAATTTTAGTTAAAAATTCTGTTTTTCTTGCATCAACAGAAGGAGGGAGGGACGCAAAGATTAGTATAGGAAATTTTAGCATCTTTTTTGTGGTAAAAAACATTGATTTGGAAATTTTTGCAAAAATAAAATAATTGTTGGATTTTAATGAAATTTTCAGGACTTATTCACAAATGAATTAAATTATTTATTAAATCTTTTTTAGAAAATCTTTGTAAAAATATATTTTTTTATATATCTTAACCATCACATACATAATTTTATGAAATTTTGAGAAATTAAAATTTCACCCCCCTTCATATTTATATTAGTTAAAAGCAGGACTTCTTGAAGAATTTAAATCCTCGATTTTTTTTGTAAAACAAAAACCAATTACAGAAAATTTGCTCTAAATCATAAAATAAAAAAAAATGCAATAAGAGTAAGACATTATTTAATTAGAAAAGCATTTAATTGCTTTTATAAATCAGATATAGTCAAGGACACTATTGTCTATTAGTGAATAATGAATTTTTACAAGACTTGTTTTCATGTTTTTTAATTTTAATTAGAATAATTTATTAAGTTTTAAATCTTAAGATTCTGTATTAATTTCAGCCTTTTAGATGATATTATTATTAAGCACAAACTATATTTACTAATCATAAATGGAAAAGCTTAGTACAAATCACCAATCAACATTTTTAAAAGAATTTTGAAGTTTTTTTTCTTTGTGTATAAATCTGCCAATTTTTGGTGAAACGAATATTCATACACAACATTAGTTGAACAAAAGAGCAATAACTATAATAAATTTAAAGCCAAATATAAGATTCAATAAAACATTAGATTACAGATTCTGCCTTCTATGACACAAATTCATTCAGTATCTCATTGGTTATCCCCCCACCCTGCCCATTTCTCTTGCTTTCTGTATGTCTTGCATGTGTTAAATTCTCTCAGCTCTCTTGCCACATTATTTGTCCAAGAAACTTCAATTATTTCTTTATGACCATAAGTATAAGTTTCCTTCTAGTTCCTGTTTTCTTTGAAACTTCCTAATTGCACACATGTTCCTTCCATGGTATTCTTAGCATTTGTTAGTAGAATCACATCTCTGTTCCTTCAAGTCTCTTCTTCATCTGTGAGTAGATTGGCATGTATTTACTGTGATATAGGAAAATTTCAGTCCTCTATATTTAAGGATATTTTCATATCTCTTAATATTTTACTTAGTTTCTGGAAAGCAACTTTTGCTATTTATATGCACTTTATATATCTTCTGCCATCCATTCACATAAACTCGTTAACACTTCTGTTTCATTTTGCCAGGTATACTGTCAAGATGTTAATGGCCATCACTGAATTTATCTTTCAAGCTTTAGATATGACTTGCAAAGTTTAGGCTGTGGCTCTAGATATCTCAAAGGTGTTCACCAGGGTTTTGCATGCTAGCCTCCTTTAATAACATAATGGCTATGGTTTTATGGTATGAATATTTGGCTTTATTCAATCGTTCCTAATGAAATTGTGTAATGAAGGTTGTGTTGAAAGGGCATGCTCCTAGATCATTTCATATTAATGCAGACCCCTTCCCCCAGGACTTACACTGTTTCTGATCTTCCTGATGTCATCCATTTCCAAATAGGTATTTATGCTAATGACATAACTATTTATTCCTGTCTTAGTAGCAAGTTCAACAGAACCGACAAAAATAAAACTGGCACCTGCTCTCGAAAAATGATCTCCTATCAATGGTTAACTAGGGCAAGATATGGCTTGTAAACTTTAACACCTCCAAAACAAAACTGCTTTCATTTAATCACCATAGAGAAATTTTTCTGACTGCCATCAGCATGGCTGATGCTAAACTCCAGGAGAGCAACACTTTGTGCTTTGTTAGACTCATGTTTTCCACTGACATTGGAGTGTAGTGATTATATAGAATCAGTTTTGCTGAGTCTACTTCTAAGAATGTTAGTTTGCTGTGTCATGCTAGACATTTTTTTTACTCTAGAATCCATCTTGCACATTTATAACTCTATCATTCATCCATGCCTTGAATAATGCTGCCATATCTGCTCCTGCTGTATATCTTGAGATTTTTGACAAAATTTAAAGAAGGGTCTTTTATGTAATCAATCTTGACCTGTCATCCTGACGTCAGTCACTTTCTCTCAGATCTGATATGGCTTCCCTCTGTCTTTTCTACAAATATGTTCATGGCAACTGTTCTGATGAGCTTTTTTCCTTAGTGCCTAGAATTTAAGCATGATACTAGATTGGTAACTAGGTCTCACCATTTTAACTATTACTATTGAATGAGCATGAATTCTAATAGTTTCTTTTCTCACACTTCTCACTGGTGGAACTCCATTCCAATTTCTTGCTTCCCTGCCACCTACAATCTTTAATGCAATGTCAATTGCCATTTGTCTTCCTGAATTCTGTTCCTTTATTGACCTTTCTTCACTTGTCATCACTAAAGTCTTCTCATTGTCTTTCACTCCCTGTGACCACCCCATGTCCTAGTGGTATTATCACCTTGCTTGGAGTGGAATGATTAAAAAAAAACAGTTCTATTAATGGTAAGTTTGATAGGTTCAATAAAGTCAAGTTGATAGCTGATTTCAAAGATGTAGTGTAACTAAGACAAAAATGGCATCTTAATCTGTAGCCCTCTAAAACTATTATCTTTTGTTTTAGAGAACCTTTTTTGTCTTCTTTCAACATGGTTAATGCTAACCTCCAAAAGAGTAATTGTATCTTTTTGGTGTAACCTTTTTCATTGATATGAATTGGAATGATTACATCAAGTCAATTGCTACGTCTGTTACTAAGAAAGTTGGTTCGTTGTGTCATGCTAGGCAACTTTTTCACCTGAAATCTGTCTTGAACTTTTAAAAATCCACCATTTATATGTGCCACATCTACTCTAGTTCTTTTCTATGTATCGTGAGATTCTAGACAAAAATTCATAAAATCTGCAATATTATCAGTCCTGACCTGGCACCTCACCTTCAATTACTTCCCCATCTCCATAACAAAGATTCTCTGTGTTTTTTCTACAAATATTTTCATAATAATTTCTCTCATGAGTTTTCCTCTTTATACCTCAACTTATGAATTTAAGTGTTGTATTAGTGTTGTGGGAATTATCTATTTTTGGCTGAAACTTTTAAATGTAGTGCCATAAACTACATTTAAACAAAGACACATGGTCATCATGCCGGAAAGTCACAAATGATGTTATGTTCATAAAATTCTAATAGACATAACAAGCAGTTTTAAAAAAATAAAAAGGAGAGAAAGTTGAATCATGCAAGCCAAGATACAACCAGTAAATAAAACCATTCTTTGTGCATTCAAACAGAAAATAATTTTATAACAAGAAAATAATGAAGAAGAAATGTATAAATGTATTTGGTATAACATATGTCCATACCTGAAATGTACAATAGTTTGAGAGTCTTTTCAGGACAATGATTGTTGTGGTAGTTGCATTTTGGGAAATGTCCATGTGACGTCTTTCTACAGTGACAAAAAAGGTTAAGTGCTTTGTAACCAAAGTCCAGGGAGAGAGAAAAAAAGAAAGAAAGAAAGAAAGGGGATTACTGCTACTTTTTTTTTTTATATGCTCTCATGAATGATTCTGATTGGTCTGATGGTAGCCTATTTTTGGCCATGGAAATAAGTCTTTACATGCAAAATTTAACTTCCACTAGACTCTACAGAATAGGCTCTTCAGATCTGAGAGGAGGATTATATTTTCCATCAGTACCTGATGTATGTCCTATAATGTTTAGGCCAGGTAACTCTTCTTCCACATTTTGTAATGTATGGTGTGGGATCTCTTTTTAGTTCATTTTTTGAGTCATCTGTTGAGTGTATGTTGTACAAGTCAGATTGTATATTTCAAATTATCAGGCGACTGTTGTTTAGGTCTAACAAGCATCTTCTGAGATTGCGTGGCATTGACAAAGACTGGTTTGAGCCTGTCAATGGCTAAAGTGTCCTTTTTATTTATATTTCATTTTCATTATGTCGTAAAAAATGAAAAACAGGTGACTCCGTCTTTTTACTCCAACTGGCTTTGTTGCTATGGTTAGTTGGGTGAATCATTTCCCTGGTTCTGCACTGTTCAGAAAGAGCATGGTTTAAAGTTTGATTAGTAAAAAGACCGTGATACCAATATACAGTGTCTCTACAGGTATTATTACTGCTTTTTTTCTTCTGAAATTAGGCAACTTGGTACAGAAATATATCGTCAGCTCTCATTGTAAAGCAGCTAATTGTTTTGTTAAAGCTGCAACAGAGTTTTTTAACTCATTAGTTTCCTCTGTATGTGATGTGAAGTATTGCATGGCATTGAGCTATGTTGGCTGCCCATGTGTATTCTCTTAGTTATATCATTATCTACTGTCTTCCTGATTACTCTTTTATTGTTCTAGCTCCTTAATAATGTTTCTGTTTACAAATTAAAGTCTTTGAAGCTTTAATCAACACTGAAGTGGTTATGCACCTTATATCCCATGATCTGCTCTCTGACAAGCAACATGGTTTCCACTTCACCCGTTCTACAGCTGATATGCTCACGGCCATAACTGAAATTGTTTACCAAGCACTTCACAACAACAGAGAAGCTCGTGCCATGGTTCTAGATATCTCTAAAGCGTTTGATAAAGTTTGGCATGCTGGACTTCTTCAAGGGATATGGAATTTCAGGTCAATTATTTGACAATACAATCATTTCTGTCAAACCATGTAATGAAGGTTGTCCTTAACAGATTCTCCTCCAGTTCCTTTCTCATGAATGCAGATGTTCCTGGGCCCTACTCTGTTCCTTATCTTCATTAACAATCATCCTGATGTCATCAGTTCCCAAGTAGGCATCTATGCAGATGACACTACTGCCTCAAAAGCAAATCTGGTATCGCTGACAAAACTAACCTGGCCGTTAGTCTCAAAAAGGACCTCCAATCAGTTGTGGAATGGAGCAGGAATTGGCTGGTTAACTTTAATGCCTCTAAAACAAAACTGCTCTCTATTACTGACCACAGGGTACCATCCCTGCCCCCGATTAGAATGTCTGATGCTCAACTCCATGAGAGCACCTCTTTGCAACTGCTTGGTCTTACATTGTCTGATGACCTGAGATGAAACAAATACATTGAATCAATAGCTTCATTCACCGCAAGGAAAGTTGGTTCTCTGTGTCACACCAGAAAGTTTTTCTCACCAGAGTCCATCCTTCAAATCTACAAATCAACCATTCGCCCTTGCATGGAATACTTCTACCATATATGGTCTGGTACCCCTGCTGTTCGTCTTAAGGTCCTCAACAAAATCCAGAGATGGATATGCAATGTAATTTATCCTGATCTGGCATCTCATCTACAGTCACTCTCTCACAGACGCATTGTCACCTGCCTCTGTCTTTTCTACAATTGCCTTCATGGTAACTGCTTTGACGAGCTACTTTTGCTAGTTCCCAGACTGCATGAATTTAAACGTGCAACTAGACTGGCATCTCGGTCCCACCCATTCACTGTCAAAACAGTTAAATGTAGCCATCTTTTCAACTACAATAGCTTCATTTCTCACACCACCTGACTGTGGAATTCTCTTCCTATTACTTGTTTCCCTGATCTCCACCTATTCAAATGTAATATCAATCGTCATCTCCAGATGCCTTGATTTATTCCCTGTCCTTCTCTTCATCCTTTCCCCTATTACGCCTCTTTACTCTTGCTCCCACTCTCTGTAACCCCTTGCGTGCTAGTGGCATCCTGCCTTGCTTGGAGTGAAATGCTTAAAAAAAAAAAAATTCTTTCACACTCAGTAACCCCTTGTGTTTTAGTGGCTTTACTGTCTTGCATGGGGTAAATCTGATTAAAAAGAAATAAATCAATATAGGAAAATAGATTTTTCATAACAAAAGCTGCTTTTCAAGTAAAGTATTAAGAGACAGGAAAATATCCTTAAATATGCTATTTCTATGTACCTTATGTTGCCTTCTATCAACATATTAGGTTGTTCAGAAAATAATTTCCAATTCTAGAATAAACCTTTTGTGTTCTAATATATTATTATAATAGTTGGCAAAAATATATTACTCACTGCTAATAATTAAAATGTTCTCTTTTTTAATGTTATATCAATCACTTTCAGAATTTAACTTAAAACCTTATATACACCACATCTTGGAGCTGAAAAAAAAAGAGATATGTTTACTTTTCTTTTTTCATGAATTTAAACTTGACCCCCATGTTTTTCAAACTGCAGCTGACATTAACAGAGTGTGGGGTGAAGAATCCACTTGTAATTGAACAGTACAGCACCGGTCTTAAATTCCAGTGGAGAGATGTTTTGAAGATCTAGGTGGTAGAGGATGTCCATCTGAAATCGACAATTAACGTCTGAAAACACTAGTCGAACAAAACCCACATTGTAGTATCAGAGAAATGTCTCAGATAATCGATGTTAGCATATCAGTCTGTATCATTTGACTTATAAACTAACTTGTGCTTAGTACTATCTTTAAACCAGTGTAGACATATGGTAGCATACAATATGACCTATGATGTATTTTTATTATATTGTGTGTTGGGGGTGTCATTTAACTGGTGATGACCTTACAGCAGACCACACAGCCACTGGAAGGACATTATCTGTCAGGACCTCCAGCAGATTAATCTGGTGCTGGAGGATATTCTCATGTTCTATCATGAACATGAGAGCTGGAGGGACAAGGCGGCTCTTGTAGATTCAATGCTTTCATGAGATTTAGCAATATCAGGAGTGTCATTTAGCTAAGTCTGTACACCAAAGTATTACTTTGAGACCAAATTGGTCGTACCTAGGAGAAATTGCCACCTTTATACTCATTTTTATCCAGTAAATATCAATTAACAATTTTTCCCAAAACATGGTAGCATATCCAGACAACAACATTATACCAATGCATCAGGGAAAATCTTAAACAATAGTATAACCCTGTGCAAATTTAAACTGTAGATGATACATTCCAATTCCAGATCCAGGAGGTAGGGACTTCTCACTCATTTTGGAGGAACACCTCCCTGGTTGACCTCCACCACTTCTTTTCTCTGGCCATACTGGGCCATATGGGGCTGAGGTATTGGATCAGATCATTATGCCATCTTGCCTTTGGCCACCCTTTAGATTTTTCCACTACCTCGGTATCCACTCTGTCGCTCCAATAATCCACTTATTGTCTCCAAGATGAGAGATGTAGCCAGCTCATCTACGTTTGTTCTTGTTGATAGTCTTAATTATGTCCTTCCCTCCAGTCTGCTGTAGAATCAAGGTGTTGCTCTTCCCATCATGTAAAGTGATGCCAAGCATAATTCACTCAATTTTATGTTAGTCCACTGCAAGAATCTCTGCAGTGGTAATGTTGATCACCTGTCTCGCTTCCAGGAGTCATCACTGACAGAACATTAAACAACTTCATCTTGGTGTTGGTTGTTCACTTGGGACTTCTCATGATGTTATAAACTTTTCCAAAAGATGCTCATTTAAACACAATTCTTCTTTTGATACTTAATACATTATAGTCTTTAATTTCTTGAAGTTCAACGCAAAATTTTTAAGTTCTATTCTATGGACAATATTTGTTACCCCACATAGGGATTGAAATTACATCCTCCTGGTTATAAAAACTAATGCTTTGTTGAATTAACCTGTCTCCGCTGCTAGTTCAGATGGGTTCAACCCAAGTAGCTCATTTTAAGCTTATTGTTTTTTCTCTAGATAAGGGGACTTTCAGTTGCCTAGTGAATTCTTGTCAGAGTAATTCAGGAATGGACAGACTCCTTGCAGCCTGGTTAATATTCCTAAAATAATTTAATTTCTCTTTTTCAACCTCTGCAAATTAAACCTGGAGTTGAATTTATAGAAAAAAAGCTACACTAGGATTTTTTTAAGGTAAAAACCCTACGAAAGAAGGGCATTGTAGAACAAAAAAATGTTTGTGGTAACATTAATGTATGAGGCAAAACGCATACAACAAAGACAGATGATACAAGTCAAGTTTAAAAAAAGAGAAATTTGTTAGATTTATTGAACATATAAAATGAAAGGAATTGCACAAATTAAGTGCTTTATGTGACAAATAATGGCCAATAACATGTATGAACAAATAAAAGTATATAGTGCCAAAAAATATGCCTTTTTACAATAAAGGATGTAAAATTATACCTTTTTACAATAAAGGATAGACAGCAAACAAAGTATTCTGTTTTACAATAAAAATATAAAATATGCAGCATGAGTTCTCCAGAAAGTCAAATGACATCAAAACAAATGTAGAAAAGAGAAAGGTAGTACTTCTGTGAATGCTTTTCAAGTACTAGTTACAACGTCCATAGTGACCCTTCTTGGTAACAGTGAAGAAATGGATTCCACACTAGTTGGGAAAATTTTCTTACATGAGGGAGCGACCTTGATTTTCTTTTTAATCCTCACCTGGTGGTGTCAAATTTCACTCACCATTGCTTCTTGACCAGAGTGACCTGGATTCAACCAGCAGCTTATGTCAACTCGTGGACCGGAGTGACCTGGCTTCTCCTGGTAGCTGATGATGTCATCTCTTCTCCTCTCTCAATTTTTTCTTTTATAAACCAAGACCAGCTCCAAGTTGTGTCTCAGGATTTGGAGCGAAGCCCTCTGATTGGTTGCCAAAATAAATCATACACCACTATTTTTCTACAAATTGGAAGGATGCAAAAATATTTTTTTGAAAGTCAATAGTTTAAACTAAGAGCCTAAAACATTGTTTGTTTTCTTTCAGAAAAGCAGACAATACAATGCTCAGTCAGCTTAAATTTCTTATAACTCTTGTTCACATACAAGATGTGATAAGTTGAATACAATCTTCTGAAATTTAGCATTAAAACATGATAAATGTTCTTTTTTTTGGTCTCAACAAAATTTTCATATTTCCTTATACAATTGAAATAAGTTAAATAATTCTAATTATCATTTATTTTAAAATTTTGATCTTCTCAGGAATGTTTCCTTTTTTTATATTATTAGTAAAAGTTACTAATTTTTCTTCTTTTTTCTCACTTCAGATGAAATACAATTCATCTATTTCCACAACCAGTGATTTTGAACTGCAAACAACCTTAATTGATAGAACAAAATTTATTGCCACTGAGGAGGAACAAATCCTTTTAACGAATAGCACCAACAATAACACTTCAGAAGAAACACTAGAAATGGCTTCTTTATCAGCAAATTTACATCAAAAGGAAGATCATTGTCAAAGAAATTTGTTTCAACCGATATTTAACCAAACCAATCTGGATGTTAATAACTATATAATCAATATAAGCACATCTGAATTGAACCAGGATAATTCAGATTCTAATCATCAGGAAACAAAAAACATTGCTTCTTATGACTTGGTTAATCCAAATTCTAAAGTCTATGTTCAGAACTTGTCTGAATTGTACCAACCTAATTCAGATTCCATTGCTTTATCTGAATTGAAGAGTGCAAATCTGGATTCAAATGGTTACACATGTAATGAGATGAAGTCACCTGAATTGAGCCATGTAACTTCAGATTCTGATAAATATATCCAGAATAATATAAATTCATCTGAATTGAGTCAAACTAGTTCAGATTCCATTGCTTTTTCTGAATTGAAGAGTGCAAATCTGGATTCAAATGGTTACACATGTAATGAGATAAAGTTGCCTGAATTAAGCCAGGTCAGTTTAGATTCTGATAATTATGTCCGGAATAATATAAATTCATCTGAATTGAGCCAAACTAATTCAAATTCCAATAGCTATAGAGACATTGCTTCATTTGAATTGAAGTCTATATATCTGGATTCAAATGGCTGCATATATGATAAGATAAACTCATCTGAACTGAACCAAGCTAATTTTAATTCTAATGGTGATGCTCAAAATAATACAAACCTTTCTGAATTGAACAAAACTATTTCAGTTTCTAATAACTAAGAGACAATTACTTTTTTTCCTCTAAACTGAGTCAAGTCAACCTGGATTATAATATCCACAATATAAAGCAATCTAAACTTAAAAAAACTAACACAAATCCTAACTGTTATGGAGATAACAGTTACAGTAATCTGAGTTAAATTATGTAGACAATAATACGAATATACATCAACTAGCATAGTCTATATCAAAATGGTGTTATTTGCATTGTGAATATTACTTCCGCCTCAGATCAATCTTGTCTTGGTGTGCTCGTCAACAAAATATACATATATATATATATATATATATGAATATACAGGGCTGGTGCAAGGGTCTCATGTTCCCACCCAAATAATATTTTGCGGCAGTTTTTAACATCAACTTGAGACCTGGGAACACTAGCAATTAAGAGGTGGTTCCATGCTCCTCAAAACCTCCTGATCAGAAGCCTTGATGTTGGATATAGTTTATTGTTTTACCCAGGATGCGGATGTAGTTTATCGTCATACCCAGGAGGATGTTAAAAAGTTGGAGAATTTTAACACATTCAACAATACCGATAAATAAATAGTGAATCCTTAGTTTAATTTGTAATGTATATAAATGTAGGTAGAAAAAAGCAAATATTGATAAGGTATCAAGGATCACAAAGCACTACCCAGGGCTCCCAGTCAGTTTTCCTATCAGGGGGTTCAGGGCCAGTAGGCATTGGCCCTGGCTGGCATAGTTTCTTTCAAAATGGTATTATTTGCACTGTGATTAGTACTTCTACCTGGGGTTAGTGTTGTCTCTGTGTGCTCAGCAAATAAGTGTTACGTACAAAAAAAAAAACAAAAATACACATCTGAATACAAATATGTAGATCTTTGTAATATTTATCCATTCATTATTTTAATGACTACTACCTCATAAACATTACATAGAATCTGTAAAAGCATTTGACAAGGTACAGCACAAGGATCTATTTGAACTGTTATGAAAACTTAAATTATTTAGGAAAGATCTTAGAATAATCCAGAATGTCTACCTGTATATGAACAGAAAATGAATTGAGAAAATACACAAAAATAGAAAGAGAAAAGAATAGTGAGGTGATGAGGTGATGAATGAATGATGCCAGAATGGTGAATATTCATGAGATTATAATATAGTAAGATTCACGGGCATCATTCATTCATAAAGTTACTATTTACTAGGACTCACAGATATCATTCATTCATTAGGTTACTATTTACTCAGATTCACAAGTATCCTTCATTCATGAGATTACTATTTACTAGAATTTATGGGTATCATTCATTCATGATTGGAATCTAAATGATTATTTGGCAACTCTAGGATTCATGAGGATACATAATTTCCTGCAGATAAAGCTGGAAGAATCGGTCAAAAACTGTGATATGCCTGCATGTGATCTTGTCTTAGAGAAAAGACAAAAAATGGTGATAACTTGATGCAAACAATGCACAAAGGAGTTGTGCATGAAATGCTGCAAAGAGTATCATACTTTTAAAAAATTTTAACATTTGTTTAATATCCTTTTTGTCTTTATTTTTATAATTTAAAAGAGTTAACATTATTTTTATAGTTTTTTTTTATAATTAAAATGAAAACAAGTATTAAAAACTACTTTCCAAAATTGGTTTTCTTATTTTATTTGCCCATTTGATACGTGCATTTGGGAAACCTTTTATCAGTAGTTTGAGGGCTAAACATGAGTTGTTTCAGATGGCTTGCATTTAGGTTAGAGATGGTGACATCAGTTTGTGTTGAGAGAGAAATTAGAGAGAGAAATAGAAAAACCAGGAAGTAACACAGGGAAGAGAGAATAAGGAAGTATAGAAAGTAATAGTGAGAGATGGAAAAAAAAGAGCCAAAGTGAAAGAGAGAGCTGAAACTGTTAAAAGAACATTTACTATGACATTGTTAGAGTAAGAGTTATTTTTTGTTAGCTAAGAAATGTTTTAAAAATGCCAATTCCATCTGTAAGAGACTAATTCTTAAATTTATAAATGTTACTTTTATTTTTATATTTAATTTGAACCAAGAAATTAAAAAAAAAATGGTTAGTGTTTTGTTTACTGGACATGCTGCAAAGTGATAGTAGGAAACCAGGAATATTCAAGATGGCAGCGATTTATTGGCTGCCATCTTGAATACTGCCCAACTTTCTTTTTTTTTTTAATTTCCAAAACAACAATGGCAAAGTTAATATCATTCTGAAGTAAAGTTTAAAAAACATACTCCCTAAAACATTGTTTTCATGGAAAGTTCTCAAACTACACTCATTAATTTCACCAGTTCTAACCCTCATGGCTAGGACCCACCATGCTACTTGCATTGTAGTGAAACACCCTCATTCCTCCCATATTCCATTGGTGAGAAGTAAGTTCCACTCAAGCAGTTTCTTCCTGTCGATCACTGTTCTGTGGAACCGACTCTCAAGAGGATGTTTACCCGAATACTACAATCTTAACTTGTTCTAGTCTAGAGTTAACCATTATCTTCTCCACCTATCTGCATAAACTGTGCCTCTTACTCTCTAACCCTTTACCTTGAGTGGCTCCCGGGGTTTGTTCAAAGTGAATCTCACTGTAAAAAAAATCAAAAACAGTTTTTCTCATACTGCTATTTCTGTATATTCCCTTTATTTGTGGGTACATTTATTCAACTTTATTTATTGACAAATATATTTTTACAATCTAATAAACAAATGGCATTTAACATTTTTGTTGTCATTATCAATCAAAGAAATGTATACATTCAGATGCTTTCAACCTGTTTTACTGAATTTATGTAACAAAAATAAATGATAGAAATACCCAGAAAGTGCATTTTTTTTTCAAAATTTATAATTACTCATTTAATGTGCGATGTTTATTTTAAATACAGATGTACTTTTTGCCTACAGTAAATGGATATGTAGCTTGGTCAATGGTGTAAGGCCACTAGTACACATGTTAATTTTATGTATCATCCATGATACGACCCTCTTAAAATTACCTTCAAAATTAGGTCTTCAAAAGTCACATGATACATGAGTATATATGGTAGTTACTTGTTATGTGTTTATTTAAATTTTCAGCCTTTTTTTATTAATAAAAAAAATTCTTTTCATAGTTATATTTTCATAATATCATAAATAATAAATATTGCATTGTAGTAGCTTCACATATATTTTAATCTTGTATATAAATAATCTTATGTGTTTAACATTTTGTTGTCGGTTCTCAAGAAAGAAACTAGATAAATCCAATTTTTGTTTGGGTTTTATGAAAAATTCTAAATAGCTTTTTGAAAAGTTTACTTTTAGAATTTTAATGACACTCAAACCTCAATAAAAATTACTGAAGAGACATACAGTAGTTGTGGGGTCAAGAGTTTTAAAAACTGTCTGTTGAACACACTGATTTTTCAGGTACATTTATGAAATTTTGCCCATACCCAAATAAAAGGATAAAAATCTTGACATTTTGTGGTTATTTTTCAGGTCACTTATTTATTTGTTTTTAACAGCAAAATAAAAATGCTTCTCTCTTACCTTTTTAATTGTCAAGCACATTCGCATTGTTTTCTTCTTTCTCCTCCTCTATTTTATTTCAGCTATACTTAATATTTTGAAAAACTCTCAGAATTTATTGTCATCAACTTGGAGGTACATTTTTTCAGAATAGCTTTTGTAAAATTATTTTTTTGCCTCATTGTTTTGGAAAAGGACCACTTTAACACTAACCAAGTAGATTCTTTGTTTTGTGTATAGACCTTCCTTTCAGAGCCTTCAAGACATCTAACTTTTTGCCCCTGTTGTATTTTCTTATGTGGAATTCTGAAGGGCCACATTGATGACAGAAAATTAGTTGCAGACAGCAAGAGCAATTTTTTGAATTGATTGTTTTTTATGGCTTATCAACCTTTTGCTGGTTATTTAAAACCAGAAAAATTTTTAGACTGTCAGATTTTTTTTGATTCTTTTTTTGTTTTGAGATAATAATAATTTACTCATGCAATCCTACAAATTAACCCATAGCTGTTGTGGGAGAAGAGATGGATTCATACCTTTTCCAAGGGTCTTTGCTTGCAAGGGAATGATGAATCTGACTGGAATTGAAACACTAATTTCTAATTCAGAGCTGTTATCCATTACACCAGCTGCACACCCAAGCTTACATCATCTGGTATTCCCAAGTAGTCATCCATCTAGGTAATGACCAAACTCAATGTTTCTTAACTTTGGTCATTATACAAGAACTGGTGTTTGAACATATGTCCGTAAGCCTGTAAATTTTTGGAGTAAATTACTGAATATGAGTAAGGGAGAAACAGCTATATAGAGGGAATGGAAGAATTTATTTTATTTTTCTATGAAGAGTTAAAAGGTTTAATTAGTGAAATATTACTCAAATAAAGCCATGCTTCCACAAAACTGAATTTTTTGTATGCAATTAATCACCAAATTTATTCTGATGAACACAAAAAAATTGATTATTTTAAAAAAAAACTCTTTTACAAACTTTGGGGACAAGTTCCTGATACCGAAACAAGGTAAAATGTCCATATAAACATATGCCCAAGAGGCCATCATTGTAACTCAACATTGTAACTCATTACAAATGATCAAAATGTCCTCCACTTGCTTCTACACACACATGCATGCACCCAACAGATCATTGATTGGTGGACCCTTTCAAATACTCTCACATAGTGTTAAATGGTTTTGCAAGCCCCTAGGACAAGTTGATGATGTCTCTGCATTATTAATATCTGTTGCATAAACCAATTGTTTTAGGTGGTCCCACAGATAGAAATTCAAAGGATTGAGGCCGGGGGAACGTGCAGGCCGTGGAACCAGTTCTCTTTTACCTGTCCATCTTTCATGGTAGATGTCAGCCAGTGCATTGTGAAAATTGTGCTGACAATAGACAGTTCCTGTAAGATATGCAAGGCAAACAATTAAACCTACCAGACAGTCACCTACAATTCCAGCCCATACATTAATCATAAACTGATGTTGGTGTGTAGCCTGTATTATACCATGGGGATTCTGATCTGTTCCACAAATGTTTGTTATTCCATTTCTTCCAAATGTGGCCTCATCCATAAACAAGACTGAAGAGACAAACAACGGATCAGCAGTTTGTGCAATAAGCCATCAACAAAAATTTTCCCGTGGTGGGTGATCAGAAAGCAAAAGACCTGGCACACTTTGCAAATAATATGGATACAGGAGTTGCTCTAGAAGTACTCTCCATGCAGTATTATGAGATATCCAACATGCTAGGGCCACTTGACGTATGCTGATACCTGGATCATCTCCAACAGACCGTAGAATGTGTTTTTCATGGTCAAGCATACAAGTGGATCTTGGTCTTCCCAATCCATAGTTTGTGGTGCCACAAATCCTATCTCAATAAACAGCAGCAAAGATCGGAAGACAAAGCTGCCTTCGGTCTGGAAACACAATCTGAAACATATTTAAAAATCATATCTGCCTGCACACAATATGAATATCTTGGCAGTGTTAAACAGAATACTTCACAGTTAACTCACTATCCCATACATTAAACATTGAAGACATACTAGCCACAAATGTATACAAATGACAAATGTAACCTGGTCTACACAGCAAAGTTTATAAAAGTATTTTTGATACACCCTGTATATATATGATAAAAATATAGTTTTAAGGTATGTTATACTTATGAATAATAGTGCTCAATATCAGGGATAGAGCATATGTAAATATAAAGTCAACACTGTTTCATGCTTCAATGCAATCTGCAATGCAAATGGACTTAAGATTGTGTTAAATCATAAAACAGACTGGCCATTTAGTGTTGACCTCAGTGTCCACTTATTTATATATATATATATATATATATATATATATATATATAATAAAATATAGTTTTGAGGTATTCTATATTTATGGGTAAATGAAAGTTCTCAATATCAGAGATAGAGCATATGTAAATATAAAATTGGACATTGAAGTCAACACCCAGAGGTGACAGTCTATTGCATGCTAAATGCATTTATTTTTATTCATTTATTTATTTATTTCCATTTATTCTTGTTCATTTTCAATTTTCAATTTTTAAGTAATATAGTCAAAATTTGTTTTTGTGTCTGCATTTTGAGATGAGTTCTGATAATTTATTTAGTAGTTTGTTTTGATCTGGAAAGGTAATTACAGATGTTTTTTTCCTCCAAGTAAAGTTTACAGTTTTTTTCATTGATTGTTTTAGGCTGATCTTTTCCTCATTTTCCATGATAGCAAAAACACAACACTGATGATTGTGTTTAGCATGAAACAGATTGTCACCTCTGGGTGTTGACTTCAATATTCACTTTTGTGTGTGTGTGTGTGTGTGTATATATATATATATATATATATATATAGATAGAGAGAGAGAGAGAAAGGACAATTATAGACCAAAGTGAGTAGAATTAAATTGGTATGTAAGAAAAAAAGACCAATGGATATAAACAGTGTAAGATAGAAAGAAGCAATTATATTTAGTTAGGTATACAGATGGTATTAGATTTTAGAGAGAGATATAGATAGATATGAATAGACTGAGATAGAGATAGATATGAATAGACTGAGATAGAGATAGATATGAATAGACTGAGATAGAGATAGATATGAATAGGCTTAGATTGATATAAATAGACAGATATAAATAGACTTAGATAATTAATAGACAGAGATAGATATGAGTAGACTTAGTGTTATACTTTACATCAGGCTTGCCCATTTTAAAAAATGTGAAAAACCGTGCTGATCTTAAAAAATTAGCTCCAGGCTGCAAGAGTAAAATTTTAAAGTAAATTGCTGATTATAAGAGAGAAACAATATAGAGAGAAGGATAGCGAGAAAATTCTTTCATTTTTCTTTTTCTACAGAGTTAAAAAAAATTAATTAAGTACAAAGGCAGTGAAGTATTGGTTGAATACAGTAACACTTCTACAAAACTGAATTTTTCATATGCAGTCAGTCACCAAATTTATTCTGATGAACACAAAAAATTGACTATTTTGAAAACCTCTTGTGGGCCACTATGTGTAATCTAATAGTACTGATTTTGATAACTACAAATTATCTCTCACAATTATCTCATCGTCTTGTTCTATAATTTTCACATCTTACAGTTAAACCACAGTGAAAACACTATGTTAAATGGATTTAACTTACGTTTTTTTACATTTATTACTGACTGGTTTTTGCCAAAGTTTGAGTTTTTCACCCTCCCCAAGTTTTTATTTTTGCATCTATTCTTTTATTATTAGGTTTTTGATTTTCTCTTATTTTAAAGCCATTTTTGAATATATTTTTCCCATTTAATCTTCTGTAATCCCCACCAGACTTTATTTTTTTTGTTTATTTATTATTTCTACGTGTTACTTCATTCTTTGTTTTTTTGTTGTTCTGCCAAATATATTAAATCTTCTGTGTTTTTTTATTTAACTTTTCATGTTTGTCTAATCTGTCTGTTTTACTAAATTTTATTTTTGGTTTCTTTTGGTAAGACTTGTTCTTCATGTTATGTTTGTTATGGCCAGCCATTTTATTTTGGTAAGACTACTTTTTGTGTAATGTCAGCCATCTTGATTTGTAAGACTCTTTATTTTTTTTATGTATGTCTTTTTGTAGCATTTCATTTTATTTTTTATTATTGTATTGTTTTTAAAAAAGAGACTTATACGTATTTTGGTTTAAATGTCTAACTTTCTTTCTTGTCTGTCTAACTGTGCGTAATTTTTCTTTTTACGTTCTCACATGTCTAACCATTTTTTGGTGTGTATTTCTTTTTTTTCATTTGAAGGAAATTGTTATTTACTGGTTTTATCTATCTTAATTTTGTCTTTTCTTTATCTTTAATTTTTTGTTCTTTCATTTTTATTTGAAAATAAAGTTCGTTTTAAAAGGAAAAAATGATAAAAAAATCTATTTGGGTCAAAAAATGAAGCACTACCTGATAAGCAATCTGAAGAAGCCAACATTGGTTACAATGAAAATAGACAGGTGCTGAAAAGTGCCAAATGTTGAAAGATCTTGAGAAATCCAGAAAATGTATGATGGCCAGAAATGGCCAAAATTTGAAAACTAAAGATTTGGAGAAAAGTATGGTGACCAAAAAAGGTAAAATTTATTTTAAAAGACCTAAGAAGTTGACGACAACAACAACAAAGACAAAAATGTAAAGGTTGAGGAGACACCCTCTTGCTGGAAGTCTCCAGCTAAATACATAATCAATATGATGACAGAAGATGGGCTCTTGCCCAAATTCCGAGGAGTTGCAGATAGTTGAGAAAAGAATTGTGTTAGTCTTTGAAGTGGACAAGCGTTCACACAAAATTTGCTGCTTCAAATATTGTATAATGGTGTCTTTTGCACCATTATACAATCTTTGACATCTCTGGGGGTGAAATAACAGAGGGTCATAAAAGGGAAAAGATTTTTTATGTGGGACATATACCTGGCGACTGTGAAGCCACGAGTGGGGTCTTATCATAAAAGACCTAATACCGAGAACAGAATATGAATGCAAGCAGAGGACCATTGTATCAGTATATGAGGTTCCTCCTTAGATCGTCGGGGAGCACTTGGCT